GCTTGCTTCTGTGGAGGACATATGTTGGTGTGGCTTGCTTCATGATGCGAGGACATACATTGGTGTGGCTTGCTTCATGATGCGAGGACATACGTTGGTGTGGTTTGCATCATGATGCGAGGACATACATAGGTGTGGCTTGTGCCATGATGCGAGGACATACATTGGTGTGGCTTGCTTCATAATGCGAGGACATATGTAGGTGTGGCTTGCTTCATGAGGTGAGGACACATGTTGGTGGGGCTTGCTTCATGATGCAAGGACATACATTGGTGTGGCTTGCATCATGATGTGAGGACATATGTTGGTGTGGCTTGCTTCATGATGCGAGGACATACGTTGGTGTGGCTTGTGTCATGATGCGAGGACATACATTGGTGTGGCTTGCTTCATGATGCAAGGACATACGATGGTGTGACTTGTGTCACTATGCGAGGACATACATTGGTGTGGCTTACTTCTTGATGCAAGGACATATGTTGGTGTGGCTTGCTTCATGATGCGAGTACATACGTCGGTGTGGCTTGCATCATGATGCGAGGACATACTTTCATGTGGTTTGCGTCATGATGCGAGGACATACGTTGGTGTGGCTTGCGTCAAGATGCAAGAACATATGGTGTGGCTTGCTTCATGATGCGAGGACACATGTTGGTGTGGCTTGCTTTGTGATGCGAGGACATACGTTGGTGTGGCTTGCGTCATGATGCGAGGACATATGTTGGTGTGGCTTGCTTCATAATGCGAGGACATATGTTGGTGTGGCTTGCTTCATCATGCGAGGACATACGTTGGTGTGGCTTGCATCATGATGCGAGGACATATGTTGGTGTGGCTTGCTTCATCATGAAAGGACATACATTGGTGTGGCTTGCGACATGATGCGAGGACATATGTTGTTGTGGCTTGCTTCATGATGTGAGGACATACATTGGTGTGGCTTGCTTCATGATGCGAGGACATACGTTGGTGTGGCTTGCATCATGATGCGAGGACATACATTGCTGTGGCTTGCGCCATGATGTGAGGACACATGGTGTGGCTTGCTTCATGATGCGAGGACATATGTTGGTGTGGCTTGCTTCATGATGCGAGGACATATGTTGGTGGGGCTCTCATGATGCAAGG